TATCTTTTAAGAAGTGTTTATATACACACACACACACACATATATATATATATCAGAAGCAATTTTAGGGGCTTTTTTTGGGGTGGAGATTTATTACTCTGTCTTAAAAGCTAACTTCTATTTTCTATTAAAGCTCTTTATAAAGATGATGAGAGGGTTAGCACTGCAGTTGGTGCATTCAATTACTTGAGCAGAAAATAATCATGCCTTGTAAGCTTTTGGGTCTCAAATATTGCATTTTTGTTGTTGTTGGTTTTTTTACTTATATTTGCATAATCAGTTTTTGTCATCACCTTTTTTTTTTTTAATTTAAAACAACAAACCTCCAAACAACTACCCAGATTGTTTTAGCAAACCTGATGTGGAGGGAGAGCCAGACCCCAAGTGTCTCCCCTTCCCGTGTGCTGCCGGACTGGCTCCTCACCCCAGATGGCTGCAGGAAGGACGAGGTCACTCAGCAATGGCACCAGGCAAGTGAGAGCCCTGCGAGCAGCCAGGGGCTGTTCTGCACACACCCATTTGTCCAATCTTGCTGAAAATGGCACTTTTAGTTAGGGGAGTATGGGGGGAAAAGACCTAAAAACGTGTTTGTTTCACCTCTACTGCACTTTTAGTTAGGGGAGTATGGGGGGAAAAAGACCTAAAAATGTGCTTGTTTTCGCCTGTTTGCCTTGAATTTTAGCAGTATTTTATTTCAAGTTTATTTTCAAGTTACCAAAACTTGAAAAATTTATTTTAGCCCATTACTGGGATAATGTGGAATAACAGAACTTGAATCTCAGACCAGGCACCAGCCACCTACAGGCTCTTGCTTTTCCATTTTTAAATATTTTAACTCCTACATGTGTTAAGGGACTTACTAGAGTAGTCTCAGAAAATCTGCTTCATACCCAAAGCTGTCATTTGGAGGAGGAAATACTTTTCAATTTTATTTTTTTTTTTAAAATACACTGAAACTGAATTAAGATTTTTAGTTAAAGCAAGAATTCACGCTTATCTCCAAAGCTGCCTCTGGAATTTCCATGCAGGGTGGGGTTCAGTTTGAGAAAGCCAGAGGTGTTCACAACTGCAGCTGAGTGCTGCTGTCCTGGCCCCATTTTTCTTACAGACTGACACACACACCCGCTCTGTTCTGGTTTTCAGTGCCAGGAGAGGGGTACTTGCCAGATACTTAAGTTGATATATAAGAAGTGTCTTTTTTATGAGTTCTTCATCTTCCAATACAGCCCCCAAATTCCACCCCATCCACAAGTCGGGCTGCCAGAGTCTCACGCTGATCTACAGCATCTCATGTTAAAGTTGTGGGTCTAATTTCAGGAGAGGGTTATGTTGGCAGTTAGTCTGCGCTTTCATCAGAGAAAGTCAGAAAAGAGCATTAGCAATGGATTAGAATTTTATTTAATTTTCAACTGAAACTCCCAAAAGCTCACTCTCAACAAAACAGCTGTAACATTATAAATGAAACTTTATTAAAGACACTTCAATGCCGTTTGTTAGACACTTCAATATCTTACATGTTTTTCAATGTACAACATTGTACCAAATTTTCTAATAAATAAATAACTTTGTACACAAAAGTAATACTTCCTCTTTCACATTGCCTCTTAGAAGCAGCAAATTCACATATTTAGTGGAAGTCATAACATTAGGCAGTTAACTTTATTCAGAAACATTGTTCTCAAATGTTAACGTGGCAAATATGCTTTTGTCTCTGCAATGGTGATGACATTTCCGCCAGCAAAATGAGTCAGTTGAGTTGTTCCCCTCTTCCCCCTGTCCCCGGTTCCACTGTTTCCACCTCACCAGTCAGTTCTGAACACACTTTTCCCTGGAGTACAGGGAAAATTGCGCTCGGTTTATAATTTTCTAACATCCATTTCCTTTGCTTCGAATAAACTTGGCACTCAACATAATTCACCACCTGTCTCAAAGTGCAAACGTGTCGAGTCAGGAACTGATACAGACAGGTACCTGGTGAATTACGCCGGCCGTGCTCAGGGTCAGCGTCAGCTGGACAGACAGACAGACCCTCCATCAGCTACTGGGCAGCAGACCCGGTTCCATCCCTGACGGGAGGTGGTGGCTCCTCAAGGTAAGGCTGGGCAGGATGCAGTAGCGCTCGGGCAGATCCCTAAGTGATGGGTCTGACCAGTAAATTAAATGTTTCTGCTTTTATTTCAAGCCCCAGTACTAGCAAAGGTGGATTTCCTCCAGACTCGGTGTCAGTGGAACCAGCATTTGAGTTGCTCCTAAAGTAAAAAGTAACAAAACCCCCAAATAAACCTTCCCCCCCAAAGTAGTCATCACCAGAGTTAGCAACCTTATGTTAGCAGAACTCAAACTGCAAGTAACTGGAAGGGAGTCCTCCATCCACAGGTACCAACACCAACAGAAAGCAGCCTTTCTATAAATAAAAAGCCTTATAGTGAATTTGAAGTGACAAAAAGCTGTTTGACCGACACGGGTAATTCGTCCCCCATTCATGGATGAACTTAAAAAGAGACCACATAAAACCACTTGGGGCATTTCCATTTAACAGAGTAATTTCAACCATAAATACAGAGTTTTCCTTTGAAATTAGTGTATTTCTGAACAGCCCAGAATTGCTACGCCAAGCAGCGTAATTAATTTTAAGCGGATATTTTCATATAAAGAGCCTGGCTGTAGATGGGGGTGAGGGTGTTCAACGAGAAAGCAGAATATTGTGTTGCAGGAAAAAAAGTTAAAAGTATCAGATGAATTAAGGGTACAGCTGTCAGCTTAGGAGGGCGAGTTTGGTTTTGTTGTCAAAACAGCTCTATGGTTTCAAATCCCCCCCAAACAAGATGTATTTTTTGGGGGGGGTGAAAAATGCATCATACTGGCGCAGGTTCTTCCTTCTCAACAGGGCCAGGGTGGGTTTCCTTCTACACACCTTACCCAGGTACAGCTGCAGCCATTTGGGAGGGGAAATACCTGTGATGAGGTGATCAGTGCTGTCAGAGTCCATAGGGGCAGGTAACACCTTCTGCTGTGATGGTTTTTGATGGTGCAATATATGAGACCACCCCACAGCTTACGGGGTGAATGATTTATTTTGGTAACGACTGCTCACTGATCACCACAGCCTTTTTTTTTTGTCTGGTTGTTTTGGGGCTCTGAGCTGTTGGTGAATTATTTAGCGCCTCTTGTGTGGTCCACTCTGAACAGATCA